GAGGCGCTCCCCCGGGTAACGAGCGCGCCTCGCTCTCCGCGCCGGCTCGCCTCGCCGTCGCGACGGGCCGCGACCCGCTGCTCCGCCTCGGTGCCCGCGGCGGGGCGCCGCACGTCGAGCCAGCGACGCCCGTCGTCGTCCTGGAACTCGAGGTCGAGCACGGCGCGCTCTGTCTCCCCGGGGTGGCCCGGCTTCGGCCTGTCCCAGAGCGGGGCCCGCTGCTCGTAGAGCGGGAGCTCGTGCCTCCAGCGCCGTAGCAGGCCGCCGAGCCGCCGAGCCAGCCGGCCGTGCCTGCGCACCACCCCGCCGCCGCTCTGGCAAGTGGCGCCGTGGTAGCCGAGGTCGTCCAGCGGCTCCCCACAGACCTCGCCGCTGGCGTTTTGCAGGCAGCATTGGGCCGTCGCCGCCGCGAGCTGGTCCCGGGAGCACTCGGGCCTCCGGAGGTGCAGCCGGAGGCGAGTAGCCGTCTCCCAGTGCGCGTCCTCCAGCGCGCAGAGCGCCTCGGTGGGGTAGCCCAAGAAGGCTGCCGCGCCCGGCCCAGCTTGCCCTCGCAGAGTGGCTTGTTGGAGGAGGGGCAAACGCTGCAGGAGTGCAGCGTGGTGTGTCTTTTGCACCTTCTCCATAGCCAAGCCCTGCTTGAGCTCGCACGCCAGGCTGTCAGCCAGCGTACGTACATACATACATGCAGACAGACAGGCATACGTACGTACGTACATACATACATGTGAACATACATACATACATACATACATACATACATACATACATACATACATACATACATACATACATACATACATACATACATACATACATACATACATACATACATACATACTCAAACATATACGTGCATACATGCATGCATGCATGCATGCATGCATGCATGCATACATACATACGTGCATGCATACATACATACATACATACATACAAATTTGTATACATACGTGCATGCATACATGCATGCATGCGTACACCCGTGTACAGTTACAGTCATACATACAGTCATAAATGCAGACAGGCAGACATACACCCATACATGCATGCATACATACACACATGCAACCATACATACACCTGTAAGTACAATCATACACACATACATGCATGCAGACATACATACATACGTACATACACAAACATACAGACATACACACAGACATACATACAAGGCATATAAACATACAGACATACACACAGGCATACAGACATACAGATATACAGACAGACCGACCTACAGACATGCATGTCCGCACGATCACATATATGTATATATGTATAAATTGGTATAGTTGCATGCACATGCACGTTTACATGTACATGTACGTGTACATGTACCGTTGCGTAGACATAAACAAATTAATGCACATAAACAAATCCGTATGTATATATATATACACATATACATACAGCTGTATAGATGTACACATTACATATCCGCGTACGTATACATATATATATACACAAATAAATACACCTGCATATCGTTATATCTACATCTACATATATATATATATCAACATTTGCAACTACATATACACATAAACCTACATCTGCATGTACATATACATATACATCTACATATACTTGCACGTATGCATAAACATATATATATATATATATATATATGTATGTATGTATGTGTGTGTTCATGTATTTGTATATGCGTGTATATAATATATATATATATATATATATATATATGTGATCTGACCGTCGCCGTACTAATCCAGAGGCAGGGTGCTCTTCGGAAGCAGTTTTGACGTTTCTTTGAGGCTATTTTGGCGTCTCTTGGGGTTTTTTCGGTGACTCTTGGGGGGCTGCGGCCTGTTGGGTGAAATCGCATGCGAACGCAACCGCTGGGGCCTTCGGTCGAGCTCCCTATCGGTGCCACGTAACGTGTGAGGGGTGTGCCGACATGGGGGCGGAACCGCATGCGAACGCAGCTGCTGGGGCCTTCGGTGGAGCTCCCTGTGGGGCCACGAAACATGTAAAGGGTATGCCGACATGGGGGTGGAACCGCATGCGAACGCAGCCGTTGGGACCGTCGGTGGAGCTCACTGTGGGGCCACGAAACGTGTGAGGGGTGTGCCGAAATGGTGGTGAAGCCGCATGCGAACGCAGCCACTGGGGCCTTCGGTGGAGCTCCCCATGGGGCCACGAAACGTGTGAGGGGTGTGCCGACATGGCGGTGGAACCGCATGCGAACGCAGCCGCTGGGGCCTTCGGTGGGGCTCCCTGTGGGGGCCACGAAACGTGTGAGGGGTATGCCGAAATGGTGGTGGAACCGCATGCGAACGCAGCCGCTGGGACCTTCGGTGGGACTCCCTGTGGGGCCGGTGTGCATAAATTGCGGTGGAACCGCATGCGAATGCAGCCGCTGGGGCCTTCGGTGGAGCTCCCTGTGGGGCCACGAGACATGTAAAGGGTATGCCGACATGGGGGTGGAACCGCATGCGAACGCAGCCGTTGGGACCGTCGGTGGAGGTCACTGTGGGGCCACGAAACGTGTGAGGGGTGTGCCGAAATGGTGGTGAAGCCGCATGCGAACGCAGCCACTGGGGCCTTCGGTGGGGCTCCCCATGGGGCCACGAAACGTGTGAGGGGTGTGCCGACATGGCGGTGGAACCGCATGCGAACGCAGCCGCTGGGGCCTTCGGTGGGGCTCCCTGTGGGGGCCACGAAACGTGTGAGAGGTGTGCCGAAATGGTGGTGGAACCGCATGCGAACGCAGCCGCTGGGGCCTTCGGTCGAGCTCCCTGTGGGGCCGGTGTGCATAAATTGCGGTGGAACCGCATGCGAATGCAGCCGCTGGGGCCTTCGGTGGGGCTCCATGTGGGGCCACGAAAGTCTGAGGTGTGTGCCGACATGGCGGTGGAACCGCATGCGAACGCAGCCGCTGGGGCGGCCTTCGGTGGAGCCCCCTACGGGGCCACGAAACGTGTGAGGGGTGCGCCGAAATGGTGGTGGAGCCGCATGCGAACGCAGCCACTGGGGCCTTCGGTGGAGCTCCCCATGGGGCCACGAAACGTGTGAGGGGTGTGCCGAAATGGCGGTGGAACCGCATGCGAACGCAGCCGCTGGGGCCTTCGGTGGGGCTCCCTGTGGGGGCCACGAAACGTGTGAGAGGTGTGCCGAAATAGCGGTGGAACCGCATGCGAACAATGCCGCTGAGGCCTTCGGTGGAGCTCCCCACGGGGCCACGAAACGTGTGAAGGTTGTGCCGACATGGCGGTGGAACCGCATGCGAACGCAGCTGCTGGGGCCTTCGGTGGGGCTCCCTGTGGGGCCACGCAACGTGTGAGGGGTGTGCCGAAATGGCGGTGGAACCGCATGCGAACGCAGCCGCTGGGGCCTTTGGTGTGGGGCTACGAAACGTGTGAGGGGTGTGCCGAAACGGGGGCGGAACCGCATGCGAACGCAGCCGCTGGGGCCTTCGGTGGAGCTCCCCACGGGGCCACGAAACGTGTGAGGGGTGTGCCCAAACTGGGGTTGGACCGCATGCGAACGCAGCCACTGGGGCCTTCGGTGGGGCTCCCTGTGGGGCCACGAGACGTGTGAGGGGTCTGCCGACATGGCGGTGGAACCGCATGCGAACGCAGCCGCTGGGGCCTTCGGTGGAGCTCCCCATGGGGCCACGAAACGTGTGAGGGTTGTGCCGACATGGCGGTGGAACCGCATGCGAACGCAGCTGCTGGGGCCTTCGGTGGGGCTCCCTGTGGGGCCACGCAACGTGTGAGGGGTGTGCCGAAATGGCGGTGGAACCGCATGCGAACGCAGCCGCTGGGGCCTTCGGTGTGGGGCTACGAAACGTGTGAGGGGTGTGCCGACATGGCGGTGGAACCGCATGCGAACGCAGCCGCTGGGGCCTTCGGTGGAGCTCCCCACGGGGCCACGAAACGTTTGAGGGGTGTGCCCAAACGGGGGTGGGACCGCATGCGAACGCAGCCGCTGGGGCCTTCGGTGGGGCTCCCTTTGGGGCCACGAGACGTGTGAGGGGTGTGCCGACATGGGGGTGGAACCGCATGCGAACGCAGCCACTGGCGCCTTCGGTTGAGCTCTGTATGGGGCCACGAAACGTGTGAGGGGTGTGCCGACATGGCGGTGGAACCGCATGCGAACGCAGCCGCTGGGGCCTTCGGTGGGGCTCCCTGTGGGGCCACGAAACGGGTGAGGGGTCTGCCGACATGGCGGTGGAACCGCATGCGAACGCAGCCGCTGGGGCCTTCGGTGGAGCTCCCTGTGGGGCCGCGAACCGTGTGAGGGGTGTGCCAAAATGGCGGTGGAACCGCATGCGAACGCAGCCGCTGGGGCCTTCAGTGGGGCTCCCTGTGGGGGCCACGAAACGTGTGAGGGGTCTGCCGACATGGCGGTGGAACCGCATGCGAACGCAGCCGCTGGGGCCTTCGGTGGAGCTCCTGTAAAGGGTGTGCCGAAACGGGGGTGGAACCGCATGCGAACGCAGCCGCTGGGGCCTTCGGTGGGGCTCCCTGTGGGGCCACGACACGTGTGAAGGGTGTACCGACATGGGGGTGGAACCGCATGCGAACGCAGCCGCTGGGGCCTTCGGTTGAGCTCTGTATGGGGCCACGAAACGTGTGAGGGGTGTGCCGAAATCGGGGTGGAACCGCATGCGAACGCAGCCGCTGGGGCCTTCGGTGGGGCTCCCTGTGGGGCCACGAAACGTGTGAGGGTGTGCCGACATGGCGGTGGAACCGCATGCGAACGCAGCCGCTGGGACATTCCGTAAAGCTCCCTATGCAGCCACGAAACGTGTGAGCGGTCTGCTGAAATTGGGGTGGGGAGGATGAAGGAGCGGGAGGAAAGGGAGGGGGCAGCGGGAGGAGTGAGAACGCGGGGAGCTGTCATTTCAAAACGAAGACCCAACACCACAGGATGGTTGGGAACTAAATTCTCAGGAGGCAACGAAAAAAGAAAACACACACACACACACACTGCGGCACCGATACGCTTCGGCCGCCGGCATCCTTTTTGAAAATCCCTTCGCACCTCGCCCTGCAGCCGGCACTGCGGACCCAGACATCCGGCTGCTCCAAATTTGTCGATGCGTGGGCCCCGGAGGAGGAGGAGGAGGAGGAGGAGGAGGAGGAAGAGGAGGAGGACCACTAGGGCCGGTTCTTCGTCCTGAGCCGTGTTTTGTCGCTCCTGGGGCCTGTTGAGGCCCCCCCAGAGGCCGAAAATGACAAAAACCAGCCGCTCCAATGTTTTGGAGCGTCGGATCTCTGGGGAACAGGTCGCACCTCCAGCACTTGCGAAGAACGGCGCGGCCGCTCGTGACAAGCTCAGGTCCAGCCCTCACTCCCCCCCCCCTTGTCCCCCATCGCCGTCGCGGGGGGGGGGCGAGGTTGAAGGGGCCCTGGGACACACAAATAAATACACACACACACAAATAACAGGGTCGCCCATATTTTCCCATATGGCCGTCTTGGCCACTGGTGGCAACTTTTCACGAGCATGAGTCGACCCCACCGAGCTGTCTGACTCCTCCTTGGTGCACCTCTGGCTTCAGGCGCTCCCCTGAAGCAGTGCAGACGAACGAAGGAGGAGGGGGAGTGGCAGTCTGGACCGGCGGGTGTCACGAGCGACTCTCAAGAGGCGGGGCCGGGTCGACCGCCGGGTCTCGGATGCCGCTGGGCGCCTGCAACTAACACACACGATGGCAGGGCGGATCGCACCCTCGGGCGCGTCACGCGTGACAGAGAACTCACGGGCGGAGGAGGAGGAGGAGGAGGAGGAGGAGGAGGAGGAGGAGGAGGAGGAGGAGGAGGAGGAGGAGGAGGAGGAGGAGGGGGAGGAGGAGGGGGAGGGGGAGGAGGAGGAGGAGAGGGAGGGGGGAGGAGGAGGAGGAGGAGGAGGAGGAGGAGGAGGAGGAGGAGGAGGAGGAGGAGGAGGAGGAGGAGGAGGGAGGAGGAGGGGGGAGGGGGGGAGGAGGAGGAGGAGGAGGAGGAGGAGGAGGGGAGAGAGGAGGAGGAGGAGGAGGAGGAGGAGGACCATCACATGCTAATGAGGGAGGCTAGGGTTAGGCCGACCCGACCCTAACCGAAACCTGGAGGTTACATCCGCTCTCCTCTTACGCTGGCTTTCTTCCCTACGTCGCCCCTCCTTCCTTGAGGAGCTGGGGTGCAGGGATTGGCAGGGAAAGTCGGGGACGGGCCTTCATGCTGCTCTTGGGATGACGGCCGCTTGCCAGGAGGGACCACGCACCTTGGGAGAACCTGCTTTGGAAGCGCTCCTTACATTCACCTTTGAGTCCTTTGAGGTTGCTTTCGCTGTAGCGGCCGCACCTCTCACAAACGACTAGGAAGGACTCAACATCAAGGTAATCACAAATCATTAATTGGTGCTTCTGGGGGTCCCTAATTAACATGGACAACATAGCTGAATTGCCTGGGCATGCTTCTCGCAAGCGGGTCTTGCGAGTGCTGTCCGCGCGGGCGCGGGTGAGACAGGCGAGGCACAGCCAATTATTATTAAGCCATGCCCACTGATGTCTCGCCACGCCCTGGGGGTTACGGCACGCTCGAGCACGCCGCGAAGACCCCCAGGGGGCGGGGGTGGCGCAGTCCACTGGTTGACTGCTCCCGCTGCCCCAACTGGGGGATTGAAACTCTGGGCGGGCTTCTCATAGGCCTTCTTGCCCGACTTCGGAGCGAGCGGGGCCCACAAGGAGAGAGCGTCAGCAGCATACTTCACCAGCCTCTGAACTCGGCTGCGACGTTCTTTATAATGCTCGATGTCTCCCTGGGACGGGGCGGGGATTCTGGCGGCCGCTTGTTTGGCCACCTTGTCCGCCCAGTCATTACCTTTGGCAACAAACCAGTCCCTCGAGCCGACCACCAGGGAAGACAGGTCCTTGTGGGCCTTGACTTTCCCGATCTCGAGGGACGCAGAACAGCTCTGGGTCCTGGCCAGTACTGAAACTCCTGAGTACATTTCCTTACGTGAGACTTCGGCGCTCTGATGCACCGAGAGGATACCCTTGAAATCCGTCCACGCTTTGGACTCTGGGGCAGGTCGTGGCAACTAAAAACCCCAGGTGTTCGGCAGCGGGCGACGCGGGAGGAAGGCTGGCCCCCACAGGGCCCGAGAGACTGGCAACCAGGTCGCCGTCCTCGTCGATTTTGACCACGGACCAGGCGGGGGCATCATACACCGCGGGCCCAGGTTTCAAAACACTGTCATCGTGGAAAACTTCCCCTTGCATGGCCACCTCCTTGGGCAGCCCATCTCTAGACCAATATACAGCCTGATCTAGTCCTAAACCAGGGGGCCTCAGAGCAATGGGTTCAGGTCGAAGTTGGAATCCTAACACGTGTGGAAATCCTCTCCTCGGGTCCTTGAACTCCTCGATATCATCTTCACTTAACATTTCCTCTCTCAGGTTGCGGGTCTGCGGGCACTCAAGGAGCCTGTGGGGAATGGAGTCCACGGGGCCCTTGCACAGCTCGCATTCGACTTCGTTCTGGTAGCCTGCCTCGGCCATCTTTTCTTTGGTCCAAATGCACTGGCAGCCATACGAAAGCAGCGTCTTCCTTTTGTAGGCCTGCATTGTACTGTCCTGCAGCGCGCGCTGCATGACCGACGGGTCGAGGGGCTCGTCGAAACCGAGCTTCTGCCCCGCCTTCGTTCGCGTCTAACTGCAACTGCCAATGGGATTGAAACAGCTTCTTGATGAGGGCAGGGGAGGTAGTAATGAGTGGGTAGTCCTGGCCTTGCGAGTCTCTAAAGACGAGCGGGTCGGGCATTGACCACCCCAGACGGCTCAGGCTGAGCATCGTGGCCCCTAAGGGCCCACGGATTTGGTACCACTTCGCATGGGGGCTTGTGGAGGACCTGCAGGGCTTGTTCACGGAGCCCCACCAGAGAAAAGCCAACCGTACCAGGGTTATGAGCAACTCTCCATATCAGGTTGGCCCAATAACAGGCCGGCCCCAAGGCGGCACTCCAGGTCGGGTCCCCCAATATCGATAAAGCCAGGGACCTGGATCTTGTAGCACAACGGGGCCCTGCAATCTTGAGGCAGAGGGACTGAGCTTCATGCAACTCGGGGTTGGTGAGGCCGACGACCTCCGCTCCATAGTAGGCGGCCGCCTTCAAACCTGTCTGATAAATCTTCCTCATATTCGCACTGGAGTCGACGTTTCATCTTGGAGGTTCGCTTCGCCAGAGTGTTTCGGGCCTTCTTTGAGACCCTGTTCCCCATGGTGAAATCGACTCCGAGGTTTGGCGCAGACTGTGCTTGGTTTACTCCCTCTGGTCCACTGTACTTACCTAGAGCTTTGGCCAGGCGGTGCTGCACTGCAGCGGACGAGCCCAGCACTGCTGCCTTGTGCAAGGCGACCGAGCAATCGAGGTCCCCCTCGATTAAATCTAGCACGCTGTCGGCGGCCTGCGCCAGGTCCGACACCAACAGGCGAACACTTGTGTTGTTGCTAGTCAGCATGAAATCATCCATGAAGATAGAGGGGTCCACGGTGGGGAACTTCGGGACCCAGGAGTCCATGGGGGGGACCGTATACATTTGGACGTTGTAGGTCGCAAACGAGCACCCAGCTGGAAAGCCTTTGGTAGCACACCCCGCGTAGGTAGCCAATGTTCTGGTTGCAACAGCCCTGGGACCCCCATACTGGTTCATCATAATACACGTAAGCGTCTCCGAAAATCCAGAAGAGATCGCCCGAGATCTCCATTTCCGCCGAGGGCTTGTGCTTCTCAATCAACGTGATAATGACGCCGCGAATGGCTGTCGGAAATACTCCAATCTCCTCGATCGCTGCCAAAAGCTTACACACATGCTCCAGTTCCACGTTGCTGAGATAAGCAAAATGACGAGGGTGAAACCCATCCCAAGTCTGGCTGGTAGATTTTGGAAATCTTTTGGCAGCTGATCTGATCTGGCCAGGCGTGATGGGCTCCAAGCGGTCACGCTCGGCCGACGGCAAATTAAAGTCCTGCTCCTGCGGCGCGGCCTGCCACAATCCTGCGAGGCGGGTTGCCTCGGACTGGAGCAACTCAGATGGCCGACCTGAAAATGTCTGCAGCTCGGGGCGCCAAACTTTCTGAGGTTGCCAGGAGGTGAGCTTTGAGGTCCAGCGGTGGGCCCAACCAACACCCCGAGACATGGCCTCCTGGACCCAGTTGTTCCAAGACGTTGTTTCGCTTTGTCGGTCCTTGGCCTCCTCAGCTTTGAGCTTGTGATAGACTGCTTCATCGAGGTCTTCAAATACCTTCAACACGAGCTTGGGGTCCATCTGGCCATTGTCCTGGTCTTGGGCAGCAGCGCCTAGAGCAGTCCTAACACTGGCGAGCAAACGGGCAAACTCCTCGGTACCTTCGAGCTCTGGGGGTGGCGACTGGATGCTGGTCAAAATCTCCGAAAAGGTAAAACTCCTCCTTGGAATAAACCCGACGGATAACATCCATAACTTTGTTTTTCAACCACCGAATCGGAATTGATAGACTCCTCCAACTGGCCCTGGGCTCCACCTCTCGAGCGGCTCCTGGTACCCAGCGGATCTTAGGGAGGCCCACCCGCGGGGCCGTGGGCGACTTGATCGGAGTGTCTGTGCGTATACTGATCGTCTTCGCCATGTCCGAGGCGAAATACTGGTATGCCGAATCTAAAGCCAGCAAGCGGGCCTCGATCCCAGACTCACGATCAATAACCTGGTCCCGGAAATCCAAGGCAGCCTCCGTACGGTCCCAGGACGGCACGTGGTTGGTTGGCCCATACGGCCTGGAGGTAGCAAATGGTTGGGGCTTCTCCAAGACTGGGACCATATAGGGCTTCCCGCAGCGCAGCTGGAACAGCACGGGCCTATGCGGGCTCATGGGGTACTCGTCGAGAACCGTGGCCCTCGAGAGGTCCTGGTCGAAACACGACGAGGCGAGAACGAAGTCGATGATGGACCCGGACTTCTTCATCTTACATGTTGGTTTTGTCGGGGCCAGAATCTTAAGGCCTGCTCTCAGCGGGTAGTTCGACTTGATTAGCTTACTCGTCGACACATTGAAATCCCCAGCAATGATGAGTGGCTGTCGTACAGCGTCCTGGATCATTGCAACCCCTGCTAAGAGCTCTAAGTTATACTGGTTGAGGCCCACCCCGTCGGCCAAGTATAGTGAAACTAGTACGAATGGACGACGTCCAGGAAGCTCAAGTGAAACTGCTGTGCACCGTGACTCTGCCACCCCTGCAGGCAGGAGGAGGAGGAGGAGGAGGAGAAGGCGGAGGAGGAGGCGGAGGAGGAGGAGGAGGAGGAGGAGAAGGGGGGAGGAGGGGGAGGAGGAGGAGGAGGAGGAGGAGGAGGAGGAGGAGGAGGAGGAGGAAGAGGAGGGCCGCCATCGTCACCCGAGGACGCGGCGGGGGCTCCACTCGGCGGGGCTCGCGTCGCGCGCATCGAGGGCAACCTGCAAGGCCTTGGGAACCTCTTCCCGCCTGGGGTACCTGCCGTCCTCGAGGACGAAGAGGAAGAGGAGGAAAAAGAGGAGGAGTAGGAGGAGGAGGAGGAGGAGGGCGAGGAGGAGAGCGAAGAGGAGGAGGACGAGGACGAAGCGAACGAAGATGAGGAGGAGGAGGAGGAGGAGGAGGAGGAGGAGGAGGAAGGCGACGAGAAGGAGGACGAGGAAAACGAGGAGGAGGGCGGCGACGACCACGGCGAGGAGGGCGAGGAGGGGCATGAAGAGAAGAAGGAGGAGGAGGAGGAGGAGGGCGAGAAGGGGGAGGGGCAAAGCGAGGCAAAGAACTATCTGACCAGATGTCTCCAATTGCTACGATACTGCAGCTGTCTGATTATAAACCGTTGAAGGGGGAGGGGGAGGAGAAGGAGGAGGAGGAGGAGGAGGAGGAGGAGGAGAAGGGGGAGGGGGAGGAGAAGGAGTGGGGCTCTGCCACGCGGCGCGACTTCGAAAAACAAGTTCAAAAGATAATCGGCGATGCGCCTCAGCGCCCCGCCTCTGCCAAGCTGAAGCGGCCGTAGCCGTAGCGGCTTCTCTCCTGGACTGGCCAGGGAGGAGGCAGAAGAGGAGGAGGGGTAGCAGCAGCGGCCGCAGCAGCAGGAGCAGAAGGAAGCGGAGGAAGCTGAGGAAGATAAGGACGAGGGCGAGGAGAAAGCCTAGGATGATGGCGAAGAGGAAGCAAGGGAGAAAGGGAAAGATCGGCGCAGCTGGCACTGCGACATTCAGGAGAGGGAGAATTCGCCACTTCCCGATGCAGGTCAGACCCTCACTTGCGGCTGCCGAACTGGAAGTAGAAGCCGCCAGCGATGATCAAAGCCCCGGCAACTAAATTCCCGAGCGTGACTGGAAGAAGGTTCTGCATGAAGGTCTGCATGTATGTCATCGGCGAGCCCGCGAGGAGGCCAGCCGGCAAGATGAACATGTTCGCGACGGAGTGCTCGAAGCCGATGCCCACGAACATGGAGATGGGGAACCAGATGCCAACCATCTTGCCCGTGAGGTCCTTCGCCTGGGTGCACAGAAAGACCGCCATGCATACCAGCCAGTTGCACAAGACGGCCTTCACGAGTGTCTGGCCGAGCGTGCCGCCGCACTTCTTGGCCACCGTCATCACGGCCATGGAGCCTGCGCCACCAGTCAGGAGGCCGGTGTACCAGGCCGCAATAGCCAGTCCTCCGCAGCCGATCACGTTGCCAACCCAGGAGTAGACGAAGCTCCTCAGCATCTCCTTGACCTTCACCTTGCCCTCGAGGAACGCGCACGACACCGTGGCGGTGTTGCCGGTGTACAGCTGGCAGCCCGACTGCAGCACCAGCAGCAGGTTCACGGGGAACAGAGCCGCGAAGATGAACTTCTGGGCGCCGAGGGTGGCCTCTTTGAGCAGGGGCCGACCGTCCCGGCATTCCTGTAGTCGTACCACGAACTGTCCTTAGAACAGAAGCCCGATGTGTTAAAACAGGACAGTCCCAGCCAGATATGTTCTAAGAACATTTCGTGGGAGCCACAAAAAAGGTTCTTAGAACATTGCTTGGTGGGGCAATAGGCGAGCCGGGACGCTTCGCCACTGATTGACCTCTGGGCCCAGGTTCCCGGCCACGGTGAGAGAGAGCAGGCCGGCCATGCCGACGTAGGCCCCGCCCATGATCGAGCTGTGCATCAGCTTCCAGAAAGGCATGTTCGCGTTGGCGACGCCCTTGTCCACCAGAGCCTCCAGGAGAGGGCAGAACGGCACAGAGATAAGCCGAAGGTCCGCGCTGGACCCCTTCTCTGGCGAGCGGACCGCGCCAGGGGCGGCGCCAGAGGCGCGGCCACGCGGGGGGCCAGCGCCGACCCAACATTGATCCCTGAGATCCAAAGCTGCGAAAACTGCTGCATCGTGCAAAATCGCGGCTGGGACCCTGGACGCCATCTTCCCGCGGCACTTTTCGAGCCGGACCGATGCGTGATAGCCTCAAGGCCAAAAGCGGACGAAGACGCCTGGTGCAACAAAAGTGTGACGCTCAGATCTGAAGGCCCCCTTCGAGTCTGATTTTCGGACCGGTAACTCGGGCCTCCAGGGACCGCTCGGGACGATCCTGGCACCCACGGAAAGCTCTCGGCGGCGAGGCGCAGCTGCTGGAGAGCATCCCGAGGCTGGAAAACAACCGAGAGCCAACGACCACGCCCGAAACCCTCGAACCTCGAACCCGGGTGCTCGTGCCCTTTTCTCCCCTCGTCGAGCCTCGTAGGTCTCCTTGGCGGCGCACACAAGAGGGCAGGGGGAGGGGGGGGGAAAGGCTGCTTAGAAGGAGGCTGCGTCTTGGAAGGCGCCGGCCCTACATCTGTAGACAAGGCCCACGCCTTCTAAGAAGCAGGGCTGCTGCTAAGAAGCCCTCCCCTCTCCCGCTACTTCAGCGTAGGGGGAAACGGGTCCTGAGGGAAACGGGCCCTGGGTCCTGGGGCCTTCGGCCTTCATCCTGCGGCGTTCTCTGGCAGCCCCGGGGCCCGGCAGAGGGCCCCGGAAGCCCGAGAACGGCGCAGAGGACCCGCTCCCCCCCCCCTTGGCGACCAGCCCCCTCTGCGCGTGCCTGGCCTCGGCTGCACGCAAGGAGTGGCCCGAGGCAAAACGAGTGGCCCCGCTGCGCACGGCTCTCGGAGAGAGCCGCGGAGGGGCCAAGACCGCGCGCGCGAGAGAGCCGCTGCCGCCGCACCCTGCTCGCTCCCATCGGGGAGCCCCCGTGGCCCCGCAGCCCCGGAGCACTCCGGCGGCAGGGCACTCAAAGCGTGCAGCTCGCCCTCGCTCGGGCGTCCATTCCCCGTGCTTTTTGTTCGGTCTCGGGCGTGGCTTCCTCGCCCAATGCTCCAGGAGGCTCCTCGATGGCCCTCGCCGAAGGAAAAAGGGCACACGCCCGAGCGATGCCAAGGGCAGCCGACCGGTCTCCTTGGGCGTGATCACCAGCGCGACGTCGTCGCCGCCGGCCCTCCGCACGCCCCCGGCGGGCCGGCGCCTCGCGAGCAGCGCGGCGCCGCAGAGCGCGGGCGCCAGGAGCGCCCCCGCCGCCCCGAGGTCGTCGGCGCCGGGCGCCTCCTGTCGGGCGGCGAGGTCTGCAGCGCGTGCCGACGCGGCGTTTGCCCTCGACGCGCCCGAGTGAGCGGCGACACTATGTACGGGCCTCACGCGAGATGGCAGAGCGGCCTTACGCCGCGGCACACGCGGGCCGCCGGCATGGCAGGCCACGTCGGAGACGAGGGCCCGGGCGCGCAACCTTGCGTGGGCAGCTTACGCGCGCATGTCGGCGTAGTCGGACCCGCTTTTCTTTTTGCGCGCCGTCGTGCGAAACTCGGGACGGAAGCGTGTCGCCGCTCTTGGCCTCTGGAGGCCCTCGTCGGGCCCTGGGGCCGTCAAAGCACGGCTCGGGATGACAAACCGATCCCGGGGAAAGGGTCGGGGCTTCCGGGGACCGCGTATGGAAGAATCAGGCACGTCGCAGATCGGGGCGTCGACGCGCCCAGGTGGTCGGCACCGACACCATGGCAAGCCCACGGCAAACCCCGCGCCCGGCGCCCCAGCAGACAGAGCCAGCGCCGCGGCAAGGCCACGGGGGGGCCCTGCGCCCTGGGCGGCGTCTGCCCTGGTGCCCGAGGCGCCCCGTCCAAGACGAGAGGCCGCGCGTCGGAGCAAGCGGCGCGGCGGCAGGTGTGAGCCAAGACGAAGCCAGCACGAGGGCGAATTCGGGCGAGGATACATGGAGAAAGCAGCACGTGAACAGCACGAAACCGAGGACGGCCCACGGAACTACCAAGACACCGTTTTGGTCGACCCCTGCCGCCTGCACCGCCAGGTGAGCTGAGACAAGGCCAGGACGAGGACAAGTGCGGGTGAGGATAAATCGAGAATCTCTGAGATCCGGCGGCTCTGGAGAATGTCTCGGGCGCAACGTCCCTCTCAGAGCGGTCCGCAACGCTCTGGAACGGAAGCACCCTCGCCCCTGCCCCGCGCGACCTCCTGCAAGACGACGAGGGATGGAGCATGTGAGCGACGATCAGAGGCAGGCCTGACGCGAGACGGCAAGGCGGCCTCACGCTGCAGCTCACGCGGGCCGCCAGCGCGGCACTCTGCACGGGAAGCGAGGGCGCTCTCGCGCGACCTCACGCTGGGCAGCTTATGCGAGCGCGAAGGTCCGCGCAGGCGACGGCGCGTGCTCCCGTCGAGCCTGCGAGGCGCTCCCGACGGGGCCTCGCCTCCGAGGGGTCGCGGGAGCTCCTCCCCGGGCGGAGGGCGGCGGAGGCCGGCGGGAGGCCGGCGGAAGGCCGGCGGAGGGCCGGCGAAGGTAAGACAGACGACGAGTCGAAGGGCACCACGAAGGAGGGCAAACTCTGCACGAAGTCTCTGCTTCAGCACGAGGGCAACTTCCGCGGCTCGGCTGGCGACCAGAACGCATATATATATATATATATATATATAATAAAAATGAAGGGAAGAAAAAAAACAAACAACAAAAAAAAAAAAAACGACGAGTCGAAGGGCACCACGAAGGAGAGCCAAGGCTGCACGAAGCTTCTGCTTCAGCACGAGGGCAACCTCGGCGATTCGGCCTGCGACCAGAACGCAGCGGCGGAGCTCAAAAGGTGGGGTCCAAGATGCTGCGCCGTGGTATCGTTGGCTTTTTATAGGGCCGGGTGCCCAGGCCGTGCCGAAGGGCTGCCAGAGAGCAGAGGCATGACCAGAAAGCCCAGGACCTCCGACAGAATGCTGTTTTCACCGCGGCGCGTTCTGTGAATTCGAGCTCTGGGGCCCGCTTTCAGGCCCCAGGGCCATCGAGTATGGATCTGGGACGGAAGACTGTCCCCGGGGAAGGGGTCGAGACCACCTGGGGCCGCGGAGGGAAAAGCACAGATCGGACGGTGTCCTGGGACACCGACCCTGGCCAGGCCTCCCCGAGTTCCGGGTGGCGCTGCTGTTCTTCCGCACGGGGCGTTTCCGCCCGGCTCCGTCCCCCTGGACCATCCCGCAGGGATCCAGCTCGGAAGAAAGCTGCAGGAAGAGCGGAGAGGGAGGAGGGAGGAGGGAGGAGGGAGGAGGGAGGAGGGAGGAGGGAGGAGGGAGGAGGGAGGAGGGAGGAGGGAGGAGACCCCTGGTCGTGCTTCGCCACGACGCCGCCATTTTCCTCGCAACGTCGGACCTCGGGGGGTCACACCCTGGGCCCGAGGTCGGTGCACACGCCCTCCTGGTCTGGCCAGGGGTGCACCTATGATCCTGGGCCCCGCCCCCCCCCCCCTCAAGCTGAGGCCTGCAGCGCCCCGGCCCACCCGCGCTACGGGCTCCCCCCGCCACCTATGGACCTATGGTCTTGGCATGGTCTTGGCCCAGTGGGCCTGGAGTGGGGGTGCTGTTCCCCCCCCCTGCCCCTGCGGGCGGTGGGTGGTGCTGCCGTGCCGTCGTCGTCGTCGTCGTCGTCGTCGTCGTCGTCGTCGTCGTCGTCGTCGTCGTCGTCGTCGTCGTCGTCGTCGTCGTCGTCGTCGTCGTCGTCGTCGTCGTCGTCGTCGTCGTCGTCGTCCGTCGTCGTCGTCGTCGTCGTCGTCGTCGTCTCGTCGTCGTCGTCCGTCGTCGTCGTCGTCGTCGTCGTCGTCGTCGTCGTCGTCGTCGTCCGTCGTCGTCGTCGCGTCGTCGTCGTCGTCGTCGTCGTCGTCGTCGTCGTCGTCGTCGTCGTCGTCGTCGTCGTCGTCGTCGTCGTCGTCGTCGTCGTCGTCGTCGTCGTCGTCGTCGTCGTCGTCGTCGTCGTCGTCGTCGTCGTCGTCGTCGTCGTCGTCGTCGTCGTCGTCTCTGGGGGGGTCAGTGAACCCTCAACCCGGGATCAGATATAATCACACGTCGGTCGGAAGAAGTAAGTGAAGACATTTGAAGCAGGAAGGCGGATGAAGTGGATTGGGCCCAGGCCCTCCCAGAGAATCACAAAACACGGCAAACTCTGGAGGAGAGGAGGAGAGGAGGAAGGGAGGAGTGAGCTTTGAGTAAGACTGGGATCGGAATCCAAAAATACCTACTCTCAACGACCGGCGTGCACGCCGGTCCCGGGCCCAGGAGGGGCCCGGCCAGGGGCGGCGTGCACGCACACGTGCGGCGCTCCAGAGGAGGGCCTCGCCCTCGAGGACCGCAGGAGTTGGCATCTCTTCCTCGGCGGGAGGCCTCCCAGGCGCTGCCTCCCGAAGAGACACCCAGAAAGACTCAAAATACGTCGATCCTCGATCCTCGATCCCCTCCTCCTCCTCCCTCCTCCTCCTCCTCCTTCCTCCTCCTCCTCCTCCTCCTCCTCCTCCTCCTCCTCCCCTCCTCCTCCTCCTCCTCTCTCCTCCTCCTCCTCCTGCCTCCTCCTCCTCCTCCTCCTCCTCCTCCTTCCTCCTCCTCCTCCTCCTCCTCCTCCTCCTCCTCCTCCTCCTCCTCCTCCTCCTCCTCCTCCTCCTTCTCCTCCTCCTCCCCCTCCTCCTCCTCCTCCCTCCCCTCCTCCTCCTCCTCCTCCTTCCTCCTCCTCCTCCTCCTCCTCCTCCTCCTCCTCCTCCTCCTCCTCCTCCTCCTCCCCCTCCTCCTCCATCGGTGTATACGCCCTCCCAGCCTGGCCAGGGGTGCGTAGGTGTACTGATCCTGGGCCCAGGAGGGGCCTGGCCGAGCAGGCGGTGTACACCCTGGGATCCGACACTACGACAAGACTACCACACCGCGAAGAATCCCCGCGGGAGCGGGGGCGAGGGCGAAGCCCTTTCCAGAGCGACCCCTGAGCACCTACACGCCGCCCCTGGCCAGACCCGTCCTGGGCCCAGGATCGGAGTCAGTCTACAGGCACCCCTGGCCAGGCCAAGAGGGCGTCTACACCGATCCTGGGACCAAGACTACGTTGAGATCTGACTCCCCCTGCCCCCCTAAGCGCGTGGCCGAACGCTGAGCCAAAGTTCCTGGCCGCGGAGTCTCGTCGCCCTGTTACCTGGAGGCCTCCCAGGCGCTGCCTCCCGAAGCCAAAGACACCCGGAAAGGCTCAAAATGCGTCGATCCTCGATCCTCGATCCTCGATCCTTGCTCCTCCTCCTCCTCCTCCTCCTCCTCCTCCTCCTCCTCCTCCTCCTCCTCCTCCTCCTCCTCCTCCTCCTCCTCCTCCTCCTCCTCCTCCTCCTCCTCCTCCTCCTCCTCCTCCTCCTCCTGGTCCCTCTTAGATGCAGCTCTTGGAACTCAGCTTGGGGCCCCGTGGAACCTCGCTGGGGCCTCTCGGGGGCCTCCTGGGGGCCTCTTGGGGGTCCCGTCGCCCTGGTCCTGCGCCGCTGCCGCGGGGGCCCCTCGCCGGAGGGCCCGGGGGGGCGCCGGGGCCGCGGCGAAGGCGGGGGAGCGGGCCGCCAGGGCGCAGAGCGCCGCAAGGGCGGCTGCGGCGGCCAGCTTCGGGAGCAGGGGGCTGGAGAGTCGTTTTGCCGTAGCCAGTGTGGCGCAAGCGTGAGGGGGGGGGGCAAGACGTGGAGAGAGCGACGACTGCAGGAAAGTGTCCTTCAAGGTTCCCTTAAGGGCCCCTTCGGGAGCAGGGGGCTGGAGATGCGTTCTGCCGTCGCCGGTGTGGCTCAAGCGTGAGGGGGGGCACAAGACGTGGAGAGAGCGACGACTGCAGGAAAGTGTCCTTCAAGGTTCCCTTAAGGGCCCCTTCGGGAGCAGGGAGCTGGAGATGCGTTTCGCCGTCGCCGGTGTGGCTCAAGCGTGAGGGGGGGGGCACAGACGTGGAGAGAGCGAAGACTGCAGGAGAGTGTCCTTCAAGGTTCCCTGAAGGGCCCCATGCGGGCCCACGAGGTGCACAAAAAGGCGCACGTGTCTTGACCCCACGTGTGTCGTCCCCCCGGAAGCGAACACCCGAGCTGAGCGGACCCGAATCGGGGAAGGCTGGAGAATTGTTTTGGCTGTGGACGGCAACGGAGATGTGACGACACTGTCGTCATTGTGGTCATTGTCGTCGTCGTTGTTGTCACTGCGACTCTGACGCAGCATGTTCGGCTCCGGTCCAGAGGGCCAGCGATGGCAAGCTTCCCTTCCCAAAGGGGGGGGCCTTTAGCAGGTGTCTGCGAGGCCCAGAAAGAGAGGGGCTGGAGAATTGTTTTTTGACTGTGGGAGGCAGCGGAGACGACTGCAGAGCGGCGCGGCGGCTGGCTGGCAGACCGGCGCAGAGGGCCAGGAGGAGGAGGAGGTGTGGGCCGAGAAGGGCCAGGAGCCGTCGAGGACCTGGTACATCCTGTAAGAACGGTTTTTTGAAGGCAGATCTGCCTTCAAAAAACCGTTCTTACAGGTTTGAAGGCAGATCTGCCTTCAAAAAACCGTTCTTTTTGAAGGCAGATCTACCTTCAAAAAACCGTTCTTACAGAGGAACCTGCGGCGTAGACCTGTGAACTCCCACGCGGCTCTGCGAAGCTCACCCGGTAATGCAAAATGAAGTCCAAGACCGCATGCGGTCTCAGGGGGCTGGAGGTCCCCCGACTACACGCAAGGCTGGCCCTAGGCAAGAGTGACCTCTGGTGCGCGGCTCGCGGGGAGCCGCGGGGGGGGGGGGGGGGGAGCCAAACCCGAGCGCGCAAGGCGCTGCTGTCGCATCGCGTTCGGCAATCGGGGGGTCCCAGTGGGCCCCCACCAGAGGTCACTCCGGCGAAGGGTCACTCCTACGTCTAGTCAAATCCCCTGAGATCCTCGCGTCTCAATTGTTTCGAGCCGGGCGATTTCCCCATGCGGCTCGAAAAATGCAGCAGAAAGGTTAGGTGCAGGGCTCCAGTCGTGATTTTCTACGATGGCTCATGTTTGTTCGCAACGTCAGATCTCAGGGTCGTGAGTGTTTTGAGAGTCAAGGCCCGATGCTGAGAATTGTCATTTTCCCAACTGATGGGAAGGGACTCCACCATGCCAGAGCAGGCCGACAAGGAAGAAGGGGACTGGGAGGATAAAGAAAGAGAGGATAGAGAGAGAGAGAGGGAGGAACGAGAAATGAGATGCCGCGGGCTGGACATCGTTTTCCACGTTTCGGCGATGACCGGGTCGTCTGGTGGGGGGGGGAGGTGCGGTCGATAACGTAACCTGCTCGCTTTGGGCAGCCCCGCGCATGCCTGCGCGCACCAGTACTGCCTGCCTCCTCCGGGCCTGCGCCACCAACAAGATCGGGCTATCCTGATGTCGGGCGTGTCCCCCTACAGGGGGATTTTCGACGAAAAATAAAAAAAAACACCCCCAACATAGTCCAAAAATAGTCCCAAAATAGTCTGGATACCATTTTTCGATTATCTTTTGACCTCTTTGGGGGGGCACGTTTGGGATATGTTCTTTTCGTCGAAAAATCCCCCTGTAGGGGGACAGGCCCGACTTAACAGTACTGCCTGCCTCCTCCGGGCCTGCGCCACCAACAAGATCGGGTTATCCCGAGGGGCATAGGAGAGGAGGAGGAGGAGGAGGAGGAGGAGGAGGAGGAGGAGAAGGAGGAGGAGAAGGAGGAGGAGGAGAGAGGAGGAGGAGGAGGAGGAGGAGGAGGAGGAGGAGCAGGAGGGGGGGAGAGGAGGCGGAGGAGGAGGAGGAGGAGGAGGAGGAGGAGGGAGGAGGGAGGAGGAGGAGGAGGAGGGGGAGGAGGTGAGGAGGAGGGGGAGGAGGAGGGGGAGGAGGAGGAGGTGGAGGGGTCGGGCGGGGCCGAGAGCCCAGGCCATCGCCGGGCCCTAGAACAAAAAGCAGACTCCTGGCGGAGCGCGGCGCCATCGCCGGCGGCCGGGCTCGCGGCGGGGCTGCCCCCAGGCCCCCTTCGCGTCGTGAGTCTGCTTCCCATGATGGGCCTGTTCTTGACCACCACCACCACCACAAGTTGGAGGGGGAGGGGGTCCTCTCCCTCCTCCTCCTCCTCCTCCTCTCCTCCTCCTCCTCCTCTTCGTCCTTCTCCTCGTCCTCCACCTCCCTCCCCCCTCCAACTTATGATGGGGGTGGTGGAAAACAGGGCCATTATCCCAGACAGGCGGCGTCTCGAAGAAATCGGAAAGGAAGTCTCGCATGTTTTGGGGCCCCTCCCCTTGTCGGGCCTCGGAGCCGTCAAGAAACGGCTCGGGGCGAAAAAACTGGTCCCGGGGAGGTGGTCGAGGGGTCGGGGGCCCGTGTCCCAGCAAAAAATCGAGGCGCCAGATGCCTGGGTGCCTCCCCCAACAGGCAGCCCCATGCCAAACTGTGAGAGTACACGTCGGTCGGAAGAAGTAGGTAAAAACAGAAAGTTGGAAGGCGGACAAAGTGGACTGGGTCCAGGCCCTCCCAGAGAACAACAAAACACAGCAAACTCATGTCGATTATCAAATAGAAAGGCGCTAGAAGTAGATTGGGATCTGGGAATCCAAAAATACCTACTTTCAACGACCGGCGTGTATACTCGTGACACGGCGCTCGGGGCGATCCCGAGCAGTGCACTGAAATCTCTTGAAAGGGCTGCCACGCAACTACCACGTCCGTGGGACCGCGGAGCCACAGAGAGAGACCTCAACAGCAGAAGGACAGGAAGGCATCGCCTCGTCAAAGAAGACACGAAGCACGGACGCTTGCTATTTCGGCCTCTCGGGGCCCGCACCAGGCCCCAGGACCATCAAAAACGGCTCAGGATGAAGAGCCGGTCCAGGGGAAGGCTCAAAACCTCGTGGGGCCCGCGCTGTGAGCAAAAATCACGACGTCGGGGGTCTGGACCCTGAGATCTGGGCGTTGCCATTTCCATCGCGAAGGGCGTTTTCGCCCCACTTCGGGCCCCAGGGCCATCGCGGTTCGATCCGGCTCGAAAAACGGCACGGGGAGATGGGGCCTGGGGCCCCGGTCGTGCTCTCCCGCGATGCTGCAGGCAGCGTCCGATCTCAGGCTTGGAGCGGGCGTGGGCGAGGCCGAGGGCCTCGGGTTCGAGCAGCGCTCGGAGGCGCGGCGCTGGTCGCGTGGAGAGGGGAGGCCGGGTGCAGAAGGGCCCAGGAGGCTGGGCCCGCGGCGGGCAGGAGGAGGGGAGGGGCCTCGGGACGGGGAGAGGAGAAGGGGGTCGGAGACCGAGGGGGCATCGGGAGGAGGAGGAGGAGGAGAGGAGGAGGAGGAGGAGGAGGAGGGGAGGAGGAAGGAGGAGGAGGAGGAGAGGAGGAGGAAAAGGAGGAGGGAGAGGAGGAGGAGGAGGAGGAGGGGAGGAGGAGGAGGAGAGGGAGGGGGAGGAGGAGGGGGAGGAGGAGGAGGAGGAGGAGGAGGAGAGGAAGGCGGGGGGTTCTTCGTCCTGAGTCGTAGAGGGGGGGGGGCATCGGGGAGGGCGAGGGAAGAGGGGGTAGGAGGAGGGGGGAAGGGGAGAGGCGGGATGGGCGGGAGTGAGCAGCGGCCCGGCCCGGCGAGGAGGAGGGCACGGGGGCGCGAAGGGGGGAGGCACCGGGAGCAGAGAGGGGGGCGGCCCCGGGAGGGGGAGAGAGGGGGCTGGTCAGAGGGCGAGAGGCAGGGCAGGGGGGGGGGGGGAAGACCACTTCTGGCAACGCCCGGCCCGAGGACTTCAGAGGATGAAGGGGCCCTGGGACACACAAATAAGTACACACAAATAGAATGATTCCCCACATGTTCCCATTCTGGGTTTTTTGTCTTCCCCCCCACACTTCCCGCATTTTCCCATATTTTCCGGGGAATCGACGGTTGATTGTGTCTGTGTGTTTTTTCCCCTCCTGAGAGGAGGAGGGTCGAGGACCGGGGCCACAGATCGTCGGGCGGGCACCGGGGCAGCGGCGGCGGAAGGAGGAGCGAGGGACCGGGGCGAGCAGAGAGGGAGGGCGCGGCGAGGGGCGGCGGCACCGAGAGTCGGCACGGAGAGGCAAGGAGCAGGGCGCGAGCGAAACGGCGCTCTGCTCTCTTCTCGCTCTGCCTTCGGCCCTCTCAGCGCCCCGTCGGCGCTCCGCCTCCCGCCGCGCACACCGCAGCCAGGACGGCAAGGCGGCCGCCGAGAGCGCCGAGGCACCGTCGAGCTCGCGCCCCCGCGAGGGCCGCGCGGGGCCCCCGGCAGGTCGGAGCGGCGCGCCCGACGGGCCGCCGCGCCTCGGCGGGCGCCGCGCCTCGCCCCGCGGCGCGCTCGGGCCTCGCGGGTCGCGCTCGGCTCGCGGGTCGCGCGGGGGGCGCCTGCGCCTCCGCCAGCCGGCGCGGCGGCGGCGCGGCGCTCTCCGCGCTCCTGGGCGGAGGCGCGGCGCGAGGGGGCCGGACATGTGGCGTCTTCAGCGGAGGGGAGAGCGACAGGCAAGATCAAGGGGGCGGGAGGGAGGAGGAGGAGGAGGAGGAGGAGGAGGAGGAGGAGAAGGAGGAAGGGAGCGGCAGTCGACGACTCCTCACGCCGCCTGGTCCCAGGTTCCAGGAGGAGGATTGCCCCCCACGAAAAGCAAATTATGGCCTCGTCCTCAAGCACTGCATATCACCACAGCGAAGCTGCACCACAGCGCGAGAGGGAGGTCCGCATGGTGGCTGGCGAATTGTCGAATCAACCGTTCCGTGTGCGATCATTAAGCCCAACGGGATGTCCAGCGATAACCTCGGTTTGAAGAGGAACTGCTGCTAAAGCTTGACCTTACGGCAATTAAATTTGAGGGCGGCCTTTGAACGAGAGGATCTCCCAAACGAGGAACTCAGTTTGAAACGCAACCGCCCTCCATCCGTGCCGCAATTAAACAGAAGTTTAAGCTTCTGGTCGTTACGCATGATGAGATGTCAAACGACAGACAGCCCAATTTAAAGAGACAAGAAACACCCTCCGCCCCAGAGGCTGTTGCAAACTGTTAGGACGAATGCGCGTGCCTAGGCGAAAACCCCAGTCTGAGAAAAAACGACTTCCACCCGTTCAACCGCTGCAAACTTGTGAAGCGAAGGTGCGCGGCACTCAAACAAAACCACATGTTGAAAACGTACCGCCTGCATCCTTGTGTAACTACTGCAAGCGTTTAAAACGAATGTGCGTGGCGTTATGGCGAAAGCCCCACTTTGAAAAAGTGCCACAGCCCATCCTCGCACCGATCTGGAAGCTCCGAGCTCAATGGTCACGCGTGGCGAAGACGCCTCCAGCGGAACGCCCCGCCCGCCCTACCGACATGTCCGGTGGCGCGACGAGGAAGGTGGTTCATCAAGAAGAGGGGTGGAAGAGGATCGCAGGGCGGATCGCGCCCGCGGGCGCGTCACAGAGAACTCACGGGCGGAGGAGGAGGAGGAGAAGGAGGAGGAGGAGGAGGAGGAGGGGGAGGAGGAGGGGGAGGGGGAGGGGGAGGAGGAGGAGGAGGAGGAGGAGGAGGAGGAGGAGGAGGAGGAGGAGGAGGAGGAGGAGGAGGAGGCAGAGGAGGACACTGCGGACCTCGTCCGATGTGTAGGACAATCCAGGAGGAAGAGGGAACAGGAAGAGGGCCGGGCGAAGGGAGGAGGCAGGAGATGGCGGGAGGGGAGAGGAGGGAAGGAGAGGAGCAGAAGAGGAGGGGAGAGGGAGAAAGGGAGGGGGGGAGGCGAGGTGCGTTCAGGGTTGCTTCAGACTTGGGGCCAGAGTAGACACTGGTTGATTATGGCCCTGGCTCGCCTGTCAAGACGGTCAGGCTCCTTACCAGCAAACTCCTCGAGTTGCATCCAGCCGTGGCGACGAGAACTCAGAACACGGCCGAAAATTACAATAAACAACACCGTGGGCAATAGACGACGAGACAGCAAGGCGGACAGCAAGGCGGTCGGGGTGCGGGCGCGACCTTCTTCCCACGCCGCGCGCTGCGGCGGGCGCTGTCCTATCCTGAGACGGACCACGGGCCACCCGAAGCCAAGCGGGGGTATCGCGCAAATGAAACGTGCGCTAAGAGAAGACGAGGGGTAAAGCACAAGAGGAGGGGAGGCGAGGGGCAGAGAAGACGAGGGGAAGGGGGTGATCCAGAGTGGAGACTGCCCCGAGAAGACCCATGACGCAGAGGCCGATGCCGTCTGCGCCAAGGAGGTGGAACGATGTTGACCTGGGCACGCTTCATCTTGGGCGCAGAGCCACGATACCTCAGACAGGTCTTATCGGCCCGTCCCTGGCGGGCTCGAACTCGGAGCTGGAGGGGTGAAGCCCAGACCTCTGGCGCCAGAAGCGGTGATACCGAGCCGATGGGCCGAAGGATGCTGTCGGGCATGAACTAATTGTACGATTCAGCTTGGCCACCCCGTCATTGTTCGAACTGGGCATCCCCGAAGAGTGTGCTTCACAGCAGGCGTATAAAACTAAGCAAGAAACCTGGATACCCTGAGGCACGGAATTACTCATCAAGACTATCGCTGACGGGATGCTGGGATACAGCAATTGCGATGTCCAGTGGATCCAAAAGCACAGCTGCGGGCGTGAGCAAACGAGGCGGGAGCATGCATCAGGTCCTCTAGCGAGCAGAAGCTGGGTGAAATCAAGGGCGGGGACTCTCAGTTGTCGACAGACCCGCGAGGGAAGGAAAAGCCCTCCCTCCTCCTCCTCCTCCTCCTCCTCCTCCTCCTCCTCCTCCTCCTCCTCCTCCTCATTGTCCCTCCTTCCTGCTCACGATCAGCATCGTCCACCTTCTCCCCCTCCTCCTCCTCCTCCTCCTCGCCATCACCATCAGCATCACCATGACCACCGTCATTACCATCCTCACCAACATCACGATCACAATCATCACCATCACCATCACAATCACCATCATCATGACGATCATCATCACCGAAATCATAATCCTCAGCAGCAGCATCAGTATCACCATCATCAACATCATCAGCATCACCATCGTCATCATCATCATAATCATCATCATCATCATCATCATCATCATCATCATCACCATC